AAGGATGCTTAGGGACATACTGCTGGTGTCAAATTTATAACATTATAGCTGTCAGTGGCTTAGCTGAGAAACTACTTAATCTCTGTAGGTTTTACAGGGCAGGAGTCTGAGCTGTGTTTCTGAAAATGGGCACTGGCAGTTCTGCTGCTGAGGCCTTTCTAGCACAGCACATCCTCTTGAAGCCAAAATTGCAGCAAATCTTGAACTTACTCCTTCAAGTGTAGAGTTTCCAGCTGTAAAATACAGTGGGATGTCCAAAGGTTGTGTGATGGCCACCATCAGTCATGAGAGAGCTGCAGCAGGTCACACTGTCCTTTCCCTGGCAGGGCAGGTGAGTTTTGAATCTAAAGGGTTTTGGGACCTTTGAGCTGTTTCAAGCCCTGCATGGAACACTGGCAGTTTCTCTGTGCTGGGATGCTGCTGTTCCCTGCTGCCTTTGTGCTCTTCTGCCTGACCTGCTGTGTCTGGAAAATGCTGGCAACTTCAAACTAGAGAGTGCATTTCACACCAGAGTTTTAGTGTGAGTTACAGACCAGAAAAGCTGGATCCTGAGCCACCAGCATCTAACACTGGGCTAACAAAGATCTCCTCAAAGTGGTGCTGGTACAAAGCATTTCTTTGCTAGGAGAGTAGGCATCAAAAAAGGGCCAAACACATACTGGGACATTTACGGGGTGGGGCGGGGGGATCGTATTAGTATGGTGATTTTTTTTCTCAATTTTTTTCATTATTATTTTCTTCATGCATTTTGTCTAAGGCCCACCCATTAAAAGAAATTAAAAAAAAATAAACCATTACACGATGGTTACTATTAACCATTAATATTGTGTGGCTGACCACACAGAGGTTATGTAATGCCCAAATGCCCTTCCCCTGCACCCCATAAGCTGTTCCATGCCCAAGGCAGCAACATATCTCAGTCCCAAAGGCAGAGCTGACTCACCTGGCTGAGTTTCATGCCTGAGGCTGAGGCTGTGCAGGGCCAGCCCTGGGAGGGATGCAGACAGGGTGTCCCTTCTTTGAGTTCTTGTTTCAGGTTCCCACCTGCCCTTGTGCCCCCGGGCTCCTTTGGGGTGGTGCAGTTGATGGCTCCTGGGATGGGCCTGGGAGCAGCTCACCAGGGCATTATTTGGGTTCCCCTTTTCTTTCTGTGCTCCTTTGTGGGTGTGCAGATGAGCTTTTGTCAAAGAACCTGACAAGTGCAGTGAGAATACATTGCATTAAAAAAAAACAAACAAACTTCCTTAAGGTGTTAAGAATTGCTTTATATTAGTCCATTGAACCGATGTGTTTTTATCTTTGTTAATTACCAGACTGGCAGGGAACCAGGGACATTCTTCAAATTGTGAGTTTACAATGCAAATAAAATCTATCTTGGAGGAGAAAAAAACCAAAAACAAAAAAAAAAAGAAAAAAAAAAAAAGAAACAAAAAAGCTCTTGTTTCCTTCTTCCTAAAACGTGAGAAGATAATGAGGACAATCATAATTGATTGATCCTGGTATCTTTTACAACGTTAAATGTAGACAGAAGATTAAGCTCGACTCTCAGGACCATTTAATCACCCTGGACCCACTTCTACACTCAGGACAGAGTCTGGAGGAGCCTGTCTCTTCTGGACCTGCCTCTCTGCTCTTCCCGGGACATGACCCTTTGCATTTTCCCTGTACTGCACATCACTGGGTACCATCAGCATAAATAAACTGCCCCGGCGTGCACAAAGTGCCTGACATGGGGACAGTGACATGGTTAAAAGAGGAGGGAGTGGGAAGGTAGCAGGCAAAATCCAGACCAGAAATAAGACCTTAAGCACCCAATCACTTAAGGTAGCTTAACCTGGGGCTGAGCTGGGATCTCTGCACGCAGGCACAGCTGCAGGCACGCAGCGCTCAGCTCTGTTTATCTCTCAGGGGAATGGAGCTGGGAGAGGGCTGGACGCTAAATCTCCCTACCTTAAGTCCTCAGAAATTGTTTCTGGGTCTGAGGCCAAAATAGCCTGTTCACAGATGTGCTAATGCCGAGGTCATGCTGGGGATGGTGATAAGGATGTGGCTGCTGTCCTGCTACTTGTAATGGCTTAATTTAACTATCACAGGTAGTATTCTGTAGTGAAACATTCCCAGCAGCTGGGTCGGCATCCCTGCATGGCTTCCCATACCAGTCCCTGACCTTCCTCTTCCCACTACATTGGTGAATCCTGTGGAAACACTTTTGCACAGATTTATGCATCTTGTGTTAGCAGAGGGAGAGAGACAGACACAGGTATAATCTGAGATGTGGTACAAGATGTTGTGAAGAATGAAAGTAATTCTGTCTGGGTTGGATCCTCCAGGTGTTTTAAGCAAGCAAAAAAAAAAAAAAAAAAGCTCTAAGTCACACTGAACTAAAAAAAAAAAAGATGTTACATTCATTTCAGTCGTCCTTTTCCTCAGGCCCTAAATCAAATATATAGTCCCTGTAGCCTTTCTGTCAGCATATATATCTATCTATGTGTGTGTGTGTGTGTGTGTGTGCACGTGTATATATGTTTTTATATATCTATCATAATTATCTGTAGGAATCATGAACATTCAGAGGAAACTGTAAATAATAAGAATTAAAAGAGAGTATCCAGTGTTCATATCCACAAGGAAAAACTGCCTTAGGAAGTCTGGTTTCTTACCTTCCCATCAAATGCTAAAAAAGACAGGCTGGTTAGGAATTTGAAGACATTGTAGCCCACTGTGTAAACATTGGTTTGGGTTTGGGTTTCTTCCTCCTGGATTTATAAATATAAATTTAACCTTAGCTGAGTTACAATAAATAAATAAATAGATCTGGCAAAGTGGGTGCTTGTTTTGGAAGCCAGAACTGTTTTATCGGCTATACTCCATTTTCTAGGCATTTCCAAGAAAGGCTGGATAATCCCTCTCCCTTTTCCTCTCAAAAACACAAGAGAAGAGCAGGAGCTGTGTTTACAAATACTGATTCGGCCCAGCGCTGACAGCAGTAGGGGGTTGACCCGCCAGCATTGCAGCTCTTGAATTATCCACTCCATAAATGGAAAATCAATTTGCTTCTGGGATTCGGCATGTTTTCGGCCTTGTTAGAGGCTGTGTTTTTGTTTAGACTCACAGCTACATCCAGGCTGGAAAGCAAATGTTTCAGGGCCGTTGTGCGACACAGAGAGCAGCTGGTGTGGATGGGCTGGGGCTGCTCTCTGAGATCCCTTTCTGGCTCTCCAAGGCACAGTGGCAGCATCCCCAAAGCGTCTCCAAGGTTGGGAGTCCTGAATTTTACCCGGGAATACTTCAGAAGATTTCTGGTCAGTGTAAAAACTTCCCTCTGCACCATTAAAGTGAATGCAGGATGGCTCCCTGATTTACTGGCGCAAGGAGCCCAGGCAGATGGGGTTAATACAGCCCTTTGTTATCCTGCCTGACCCACTTGTCAGCCCTTGAGCTCCTATAAATGCATGTGGAGGGGCCAGACTTAAAATAAATCTCGAGGCATTTGGCAAACAGCAGCTAATTGAAGGGCACATGCTGCCCATCATGTGCTGAGGAGGAGAAACCTGGGGCAAAGGCTTAAAAAAATGAGGTCTGAGGTTCCTGTTTTCCGAACTGGCTGCGTGGGACTCTGTCAATATTTACACAGCACCTCTAAAATCCAAGCTGTTTCCAAGGTGCTGTGTCAAACCCTGTGGAAAAGTGGTTTGGCCTGGGGCAGCTCCTCGCAGATCCCCAGGAGAGGAGCCAGCAGGAAAGCTGGGGATGCTGCAGCTGCACTTCCTCCTGTCTGGATAAACAGAAACATTTGGGTGAGGCAGCGAGGGGCGTCCTGCCTCAATGCCGTGCACAGAAATGGGTTAACATGGTGAGGTTTCATGGTAGCAGTTGCACTTTTGCTGGCTCTTTGCTGGGCTGGAGCCTGCAGCTGAGCAGTGAATGAGACTTCTCTCACTGGGCTTTCATTTGTTCATAAATTGCACATATTCTGACATGGTTGCTTCTCTGATTTTTTCTTCCTACTTTTTTTTTTTTTTTTTTTTTTTTTTTTTTTTTTTTTTTTTTACCAAAATTTTTTTCTTTCTTTTTTTTTTTTTTTTTTTTTTTTAAACCCAACAAAACAAAGAGTATTATTTGAGCAATGGCACTTTTGGGACTTTTTGTAAACATCTGAAGTTTTATAAACATGTTTTTCTTCCCACAAAACAATGCCTGTCCCACAATGGCATTCCCACACAACACTGGGGGATGAAGGGATTCATTTTATGACTTTTAAAAACTTGTTTAAATCCCTGCTGCCAGGCAGGGAATGCCAGGAGGAGAAGGGAGAGCAGCTCTGGGTCCCTCTGTACCTCCAAAGTAGCTCTGTGCCTCTCTGCCTAGGTTGGGGTCAAGCTGCTATCACCTACCTTTACTTAGCAGAAAAAAGAGCAATTTTCCATGTGAAACAAAGGCCATTTATACTTTGATTTCCCCTATTTATCCCAGAATGTACAAGCTGGTTTTGCTTTGCTTTCTCTAATCTCAAATCCATCCCAATCCTTAAATTAAGCTTGCTGGGGAAAGAAAGAGAAAAGAACTGATCCATCTTCCTCCCCATCCTGCTCCTCCCTCCTCTAAGGGTGCTTGCTGTTCAGCTGCTCTGAGTTTTGAATACTTTGCTGCATATCTTGTGGCTATCAAGGTCAGCCTGAAGGAGGGAGGTGACTCATTGTCATTCAAATAGCTACAAACTGTAATACTAATAAGGCCAGAGCAGAGCAGGGAGGCTGATTCAATACAAAGAGACTCTGTCCACAGGTCAATGCTCTGCCCTTTCCAAAATTTCACCCTCACACTCCTCAGTGTGCAAATACCAGAGCAAAACTTGAAGCCAGGGCTGCTGTTTCGAGGGCTCTGACCTGATCAGAAGTTCTGGGATGGGGAGGGAAAAGCAGAGAAATTAGGTTGGGAGGAATGAAAAAAAAAAAAAAAAAAACCTGACCATTTTTCTTTCTCTTTTTGTCTGTCTCTAGGTTGCAAACTTCTCTTCATGACTTATATGGACATTGGAGCATGGCCCTCTGATGGAATGTACAACCCCAGATGATCCAATCCTTCAAGAACAAAATTCCAAGAAAAAGAATACAATTCTTTCTACAATTTGCTTGTTTTAATGTATGGCTTGCTCTCATACACAAAACCCAAGTTTTAATTTCTGTATGCAGAAAGACAAGGGTCTGTCTTCAGTAAACCCTCACCAGAAGAGGTGAGCAACAGGACACGCAGAGGTGGAAGGAACTTTGAAGCACTGTGAGAAGGTGAAAGGAAGTACCCAGCTTGTCCTTTTTTAAGCCCATTTGGGAAGATGAAGCTTCTCCCTCATGGCTGGAAGTAGTGGAGTCAATCAGTTCAGCCTAAGCCTGGGGTGGTAACTGGCAGGCACCTGCTGCAGCCTTTCCTTTCTGCCTTACATTGGACCCTGCACTGCTCTCAGCCAGTGCTGGGGGCAGAGCCCGAGGGGCAAAGATGGTTGTGGTAAGGAGGAGGAATGTGAAAATGTTCACCTTCGCCTTTTTGCTCATCACCGTGACGTCCTTCCTGCTGAACTACACACACCAGGTGACCACCACCACCTGGGACCCCCGACACCTCGTCGTGCAGTTTTCAGAGCACGTCCAGAAACTCTTCAAGTACCCCAGGAGACCCTGCAGCTGCCACACGTGCATTTCGGAGCTGGGCCGTTCCCTCTGGTTCGATCAGAGATTTAACTCAACTATGCAACCTTTCCTGACCTCACAGAATGCCTTGATCCCAGAAGACAGCTACAGGTGGTGGCTGGTAAGTGGGGGTGTGGATACAGCACAGGATTTAGGTGACAGTGTTGGTGTCAGGCTTCCAGGGTGCCAAGCACATAGAAAGAGATGTTTTCTGCCCAAAGTATTTGCTCTCTCAGCCGACGAGAAGGAGGTGGAAGGAGTGGGTGTTTGTGCTGCTGTTTAGCTCAGAGGGGCTTGCACTGCACATTCACTTGCTCCCAGCTAGAATAGTTCCTGACAGAGTTAGGTGGTAGATCCAGAATTTGCAAATGTCAACACTGTCATTTTCTCCCTTCTCTTCCAAAGACCAGGCTTCGTAACCCCTCTGTTTCTGCTTCAAATGGGCTTTTTGCCATTCATCAAGGTGGATAATCAAACTAATTGTGAAGTATGTGATTCCCCCAGGGGGTCTCCCTACCATAAGATATGTAAATAATTAGCAGGATTAAATGGGAAATTATTAATTCCATGCTTATGAGAACATTCTCTGTTGTGGCTGTTGGTGTAAAACAGATCCAGAAAGCTCATGGGTGGCTGTGGGTCACTGGGAAGGAACAGCCCCAAGTGTATCCCTGAGCAGGGTGTTCCAGCTACCCCTTGAAGCCTGATCCAAGCATCATGAAAGCGAGTAGATGCCTTTTTGATAAAGCACAGAATGGAATAAGATGCATCCTGTCCTTTTGCTTAACAAAAGCCCCTTTTCTGTTCTCTTGAAATAAGACATCAGTTGTTTGATTTACTCCTGGCTGTGCTGCCGAGGTGCTAAAGTGCAGGTTCTGCTGCAACAACCCCAGTGAAATCAGTTTCATTGCACTTGTTTTCCCCTCTTCCAGAAAAATAGTCCTCTGTGTCTTTCTTTGAACCCACAACAGACTGCACCTTGGTGTCTTGCAGCGAGCACAACCCTTGTTGTGGAATTCTGGGCTTTCAGGCCTTCTCTGGCATCCTGAGGGGGCCTCTCCAATAGGCACCCACTATTGCAATGGGGACATTTGGGTTTTGGAGGGGATGTCAGGTGCTGTGGGAATGAGGCTGTATCGGATTTATCACTTCTCACTCCACTGGGTGTTGCATTTAGTGTTGAAAAATAAATGCCACTGAACTTTGCCATCTTTAATTGTTGTGTAAATGATACCATTGCTTTATGATGAGGTACTCCTTTTTGCAATGAGTCTCAAGTTCTCCAGGTGCTGTATCTTTTCACCTGCCCTTGGCCATGACTTTGGTTTCCTATTGATTGTGGTTTTTCTTGCAGCTTCCAGACACTTTTCCCTCTGGTCCCCGTGTTTGTTGTCTGGGCTTTGCTGGAGCATTGAGCAGGGAAGATGGCAAGCTCAGGTCCTTGTCCTTGCCCTGGCTTGAGGTTTCACCAGGCAGCTGGGCTGATCTAACTGGATGTTTTCAAAGGAATAGGCATAGCCCAGACTGAGCTCAGTAATGAGAGGATGAGGTTACTCATGGACACCATGAGCAAAGCCACTCTGCATTCTGCACTCAGAACTCACTAATTTAAGCATGAGGTTTGAATGCATTCTCTCTTAGGAAAAAAAAATAAAAATAAGAAAAAGCTTGCGACTCAGTACAGAAGTCTGAATATGTAATGCTCCTTCTTGTAGTGAAACAGAAAAAAAAAAGAAGCAGTGCTTCCTCAATTTACAGAATCAGTTAGGTTGGAAAAGACCTCTGAGATCATCGAGTCCAACCTGTGACTGAACACCACCTTGTCAACCACACCAGGGTGCCAAGTGCCACATCCACTCTTTCCTTTAACTCCTCCAGGGATGGAAACTCCACCACCACCCTGGGCAGCCCATCCAATCACCCTTTCTGTGAAGAAATTCCTTCTAATGTCCAGCTTAAACCTTCCAACCATAGTTTTAGACTGCGTCCTCTCGTCCTGTTGCCAGTTCCCTGGGAGAAGAGACTGACCCCCACCTGGGCACAACCTCCTTTCAGGTGCTTGTAGAGAGTGACAAGGTCACTCCTGAGCCTCCTTTTCTCCAGGCTAAACAACCCCAGCTCCCTCAATCTCAGTCACCTCATAGGACTTGTGCTCCAGACCCTTCACCATCTTTGTTGCCTTTTCTGGACTTGCTCCAGCACCTCAGTGTCCTTCTTGAGGTGCCCAGAACTGGACACAGCACTCAAGGTGTGGCCTCACCAGTGTGTTAAAAGTTCAACTCAACAGATTCTTTCAGAGGAGGTTTGTTTCTTCTTCAGCAAAATGAAAAAAGAAGACTTTCAGAACAGCTGAAAGTCTCCCCTCCCTATCCTGAACAAAAGCTGTTCATTAATTTTCAGGGCTGTCTAACCATGTTTTAGTGTTTTCATTCTTTTATTATTCAGATCATGTTCAAAGGGACTACACCACTTCAGAATACAAAATCAAAGCAATTTTTTTTCAGATGGTAAAAATAAATCTTCTAAGATTCCTAGACTTTTTCAATATTCAACCAGGATATATTTTGATGTCCCCCATAACTGCATTGTGTATTGGAAGTTTTTACTCACTGAAAGTCTTTGCCCTAATGTGTAGTAGATGAAGAAAGTGCCCTGACTCCTCTGAAGGATGGTTTTGGGTAAACCCCAGGCATGATGTGGCCTCACCTCCTCATTGCAACTGATTCCTTATGCACATGTTGCTTTGGGTAAGCTTTTCCAAGAGAGTGTAATTTCTTCAGTAAATACTTCCCAGGTGCATCCTGAGGGCAACTCCCTTTTTGCTGTTCATTTTTAGGCTCATCTTCAAAGCAATTCTGAGATTTCGGCCAGTCTTTAAGAAAACATGCTTATGGCCATGTTTCACTCTTGTGTGCTTTGCCAACTCAGTAATTTGTGACTTTTTGCTATATTTGTACATAAAAAGGAGGTATGAGGAAACCTGAGATTTCTCGAACTTCTTTTCCAGGGGAGGAATGACTGTGTGTTCACTCTCAGGAGCTGATTTCAGACAGTGTGGTGAGAGACAGACTCTTTATTACATGGTTGTGACTTCCCTCCCATGGGGAGACCCATGTGATGTGCTGCTCTAAAAGCAGGCACAGCCTTTGCCTGCCCACCAAACTCAAGCTGCCCTCCCTCCCCCTTAACCCTGTTGCTGTAGATGTGGATAAGTGCTATTCATCCCAGTAGTCCTGCAGCATTAGTATCCCTCCAGTACTAGATCAATGAGGACTGATTTCAGAGGTTAATGACCAGTACTGGAGACAAAGGCATATTTGGGACCAAAGAATGGGATGGTTTCCCTCGCTTACAGCCCTTCCCATGGCTGCCAGGCTGCTTAATGTTTTATTTGGAGACTATATAGTTTGAACACTTTCAGCCTGGTAGGATGTGACCTTTAGGAGGAAATATTCCTGCTTGCTCTGAATAAAACTGTGTGTACTGGATTTAGTGCTACCACCTGTGCAGGTGGGAAGGAGCAGGGGGGAGAAGGTCAGTGCCACCATGCCTGCAGTGGCTCATCTTGCTGCATGGGGCAGGGCTGCTCCAGAAAAGGCCCTGAAAATGTACCTGGCTGTTTCTTTGTTCATGGAAACAAGGGGGATGTTGTCAGGATTGCTTCCTGCTTCTCATTTGCTCAAATATACACAGGTGAAAAACTGTCCCTTCATTATCAGGTAGCAAATAATGGCCCAGATTCTCCCACGTACAGCCCTGCAGCTGCTCTGTACTTCTTGTGACTTAAAGTTGAATTGGAATCCCCTACTCTGAGGGGGGATCTGGGCATTAATAACACTTCAGGCTGTGAACAGTTTATTAGAAATTCCTTCCACCCTCCCTCCCTCCCTTCCTGTCTCCCACCTCCTCTCTCTCTCTTTCTGCTCTGCCTTCCCTCATCTTGTGCTCAGGGACTGAGAGTGTTTTTTGCAAGGTAGCACCTGGTGTTACGTGATACATTCCTTTCTGTTTATATTTTCTTTCCCACCTCCCTGAGCTGGTTCACCTGCAAGCTTTCCATTGTTTTACCATGACACAAATGCTGTGGATGTTCTCACTAAATTTTGTAACCCATATATAAGGAAACATGGCAAGAATTGCAAACATCATTTATTTATAGCTTTCTTGTTTTGTTCTAAGGGCTGGATACATTGTTCTTGGTGGTCAGAAAGTACAAAAAATAGGAGATCAGAACCTGTTGTTCTAAGCCCAAATGTTGAGGTTGATGGATTGAAGTTGTGATAAGTAAATTTAGGCTCAGAGTTTCCTGGCAATCTTCTCTGTAGCACATTGTTCATAAACTATCATGTTATAAGAACTTTTATCTCTAGTCTTACAGTGTTTGAGGGTTTTGCATTTTCTTTGGAAGAAAGCTCAGATCTTGGGGCCATGTTATTAGCGTATCACAAAGAAAATATTAAACTCATTATGTTTGTTGGAAAAACGTAATAGATGGCTTAAAAATTTGCTTTCAGCCAGTGAACAAAGGGACATCCCCACCCAACACACGTGCTGGGGAAGTTGGGGCAGCTGCACTGATTTTTAAGGCAGCAGCAGAGCTGCTTGGCACCTGAGTCATGCATTTTGAATGCTCTCTGAGGAAAATGTGTCCAAATACTTTGATCACCAGAAGTTTCCTTTGAACCTGGGATGCTGTCTATGACACTTGGAAAGCAATACTGAGGGCTCAGCGGTTTGAAGGCAGCATGTAGCTACCAGATCACTGCAGAAGGGGGTACCAAATCCCAGTGCCTGGCCCAGTCCCACCCAGTCCCACCTGCAGTTGGGCTGCTTGGTTGTAAGTGTGACATTTAGACCAAATTTGGATATAAGGGAAGAACCTGACACTGAGCCACCTCTCACCCTCAGTGTCAGCCCCCACATAAGTCCAGCTGGGCTGGAGCTGCTCCTCCTATGGTGAGGACAGATGGACCTGGAGGTGGTCCAGGCTCACAGGTCTCTCTCAGCATGAGGGTCAGAGTAGTGTAGAGGTGACCCATATCAGCCATGGAAGTCAGAAATTGTACAACTCAGCATATTATTGTGTGATATTTACAGAATATATGCATGTATATATTTATA